CCAAAACCCCAAAACCCCAAAACCCCAAAACCCCAAAACCCCAAAACCCCGAATTGTAAATATTTTTGGGTGATTTATAAATTGAGAAGATTTCATATAATAATTAATAATTGAGATAAAATGGCCTCGAATAGAATTAACAGGTACAGATCTCTTTACGAGAAATTAGTCAGACCAAATAATGGATCAACCTTCCCAAGACATGTATTCATTAGATCAGCTAACCTACAATCCTCTGTTTATGAACGTGTTGGTGATAGGTAGGTATTTAACTCAAATAATTGATATTAAGTCATAAAAGCTTCATTCATCATGGAATCAATGTGATCTTAAAATTAATCATCTTTTAGATAAAATTGCTTTGAGAGCACTCTTCTCCACTTGACTGAGAGATTTAATGGAAAGGAAGTGTACCTTGTTGGCTCAATGAATCAATCAAGCATGCTCGCTTAAAGAACCAAGAGACTAATTGAAGAAATTTAGCCAGATGTTGTACTTGTCTAAACCAATGCAAAGTAAGCTTATTATTTTGTTTAGAATCATTAATTTAGATGGTGGGAAAAGGCTAAGCTTTTGCAATATGTGGACTCACAAGAAGAATTAAACAAATATGAAACTCATTTGAACAAGAGTCTATCTCAAATGTGGCTTGAACCATACTGGAGTTCACGTAAAATCCTATTCCTAGCAAGACAATACCTTAATGGATTTTTATTCCAGGCTCATTTTAGATTCGGCAGTGATTTCAAGTTTTGGCTACCAGGTCTTGAGGTTAAATATGCTTGTGAAGCAGCAGAGAAGGTAGGTGCTGAGGTTCATTTTATGGGATCTGAGATTAACCCAGTTACTTATGAGAGATTATATCATGAAACTAGATTTAATGCAATCCAATATTTTGTCAAGAGATTCTAATATGTTCTCTCTAACTGGGGATTAGAAAACGAATCTAACTAGTAAAAGATCCACTTAGTAGGTCCAAGAACATTCACTGAAAAATGTCTCGACTCACATCTCATTAACTGGTACATCCAAGCCACTGACATCTTCTTCCCAAGAATGAAACAAATTTTCGTTGACAGCAGAGATGAAGATCTTTTCAGTCATATTGATAATTGTGAAGGCAAGAAAGTTGTTGCAGTTGTGAATTAATGGCATTTAGAGGGTATCGAGCATCACTGGTGTCACAGATACGGCCAAGTACCAAGAGCAGTCGTCTTCCCAGAAGGTATTAACCCAGTCGGAGATATGAACTTAAGAGAAGGTCTCTTCCAAAGACTTTACAACTATGTTCACAGAGAAATCGCATCTGCAAACTCAAAGGGATCCCCAGCAACCTATGCAGACTGGATCATTGGTTATCACAGAGAGTCAAACTGGTAATACGAGCACAGAGACATGTGAGTAGTTCAGTGATGAATGCATTAAAGATACAAAAATAACCTGTGTGACTATGAAATAGTACTTTGCAATTATTATAGTAATTATGATTTCTGCAAATGCGCTTTTCGCTCACATTCTATTTAATTTAAATAAGAGTTTAAATTTAAGAACTTACATAATTATAATAAATTATTAACGAGACCCAGTCAGACAAATTAAAAAGGGCCTTTAATTAGTTGTTTACTACTAAGATATATAATTAAATATTTGCTATTAAGAACCGTATAATGAGTTCAAGAGTAAGATTCATCGATCTTGTGCGCCCAGTTATGGGTCTACTTCCTGAAGTTGAGCAGCCATTGAAAAAGGTAAGATATAAAAAAACACTCCTAACTTTTGCTTACCTCAATTTTTCTTTAGCAACAATTCAATGACAAGCTCATCTGGACATCAATTACCCTCTTCATCTATCTTATCTGCTGCTAGATTCCCCTCTACGGTATTGCAAGATAAGAGGGAGCTGATCCACTCTATTGGTTGAGAGTCATTCTTGCCTCAAACAAGGGTACTCTCATGGAGCTCGGTATTTCCCCAATCATCACTTCAGGTATGATCATGCAACTCCTTGCTGGTGCAAAGATCATTGAAGTTAACCAATCATCAAAAGAAGATAGAGATCTTTTCCAAGCTGCTCAAAAGCTTTTCGGTCTTATCATTACTCTTGGAGAGGCCTTCGCCTATTTACTATCAGGAATGTATGGAGAACTTTCAGACCTTGGTGCTTTCAACGCCATTCTTATTATTCTCCAATTATTCATTGCTGGTATCATTGTTATCCTTCTTGATGAGCTCTTGCAAAAGGGTTACGGTCTTGGTTCAGGTATCTCACTTTTCATTGCCACAAACATTTGCGAAAATATTCTCTGGAAGAGTTTCTCACCAATCACAATCAGAACTGAACAAGGAACTGAATTTGAAGGTGCTATCATTGCTCTTTTCCACTTCTTACTTACCAAGAGCAACAAGCTATACGCCTTATAGTATGCTTTCTACAGACAAAATGCACCAAACCTTTCAAACCTCCTTGCTACCGTCCTTATCGTGCTTATTGTTATTTACTTCTAGGTAAGTTAAATTCAAATTGAAAGCAGAAAGAGAGAGTAGTATTAAGTAGTAAGAATATTGAGAGAATTCACTTGATTATTTTGAGTGGATTGCTTCGATATTCATGGATTAAATGATGATAACTAAAGCCGTTCTAATTCGCAGAACACTCGCAAGCGAAAGCTCTGTGCGACTACAATCTTCCTTAGATGTCTGATCAATCTACATTTACAACCTTACTACTCTCTCACTAAACTATTCAAACAATCACATACTTAATTATATTTAATAGGGATTCAGAGTTGAACTCTAAGTTAGCAGCAGAAAGATGAAGGGTTACAAACAACCATACCCAATCAAGTTGTTCTATACCTCAAACATCCCAATCATTCTCCAGACTGCATTCGTGTCTAACCTCTATTTCTTCTCACAGATCCTTTCAAAGAAATTCAAGGGAAATTTCATCATTAACCTTCTTGGAAAATGGCAAGAATATGATATGGCTGGACACTCAGCTCCAGTTGGTGGTCTCGCTTACTATATCAGTCCACCTCGTGATTTCGTTGATATTGTCAGAGATCCATTCCACACTCTCTTCTACATGCTCTTCGTGCTTGCCTCTTGCGCCATCTTCTCCAAAATTTGGATTGATGTCTCAGGAAGCAGTGCCAAAGATGTTGCCAAGCAACTTATGGAGCAAGACATGATCATTGAGGGTATGAGAGAGGAATCAATGGTTAGATACCTCAACAGATACATCCCAACTGCAGCTGCCTTTGGTGGTATGTGTATTGGTGGTCTTTCAATCATCGCTGACTTTATGGGTGCAATTGGTTCAGGTACTGGTATTCTCTTGGCTGTAACCATAATCTATCAATACTTCGAAATGATTGCCAAAGAAAAGGAAAGAGGAGCTGAAACCTTTATTTTCTGAACACACTTATATCTCATAAATTTTACCTAAATCTCAACCTCAATTTTACGCTTTAGGGGTTTTGGGGTTTTGGGGTTTTGGGG